AATCAAACACCTCATTGTGACCGAATGTCATATTCCAACATCGTAAATACGTGAAATTATACGGTATAGAACACCATTAAGCCAGTGCCGCTTGCCCTATTCCTAGATCAGTGTAGAGCGAGCTTTGCTTTTGCTTATATTTCAGTGATTTCTTGTTATATTAAATAAATAGTAATTACAAAAACTAGTAATGTAATTTTTTTTCCTGAATTTGTTTTTCGTATGTGGCTTTTTAGTGCACCTTGCCTTGGATCTAAAGCAACTCTTCCTGTCATACTACTGCCGTGTCGGCACTAACGATTTCTTCATAATGAAAACATAAACTTTATATGAATAAGAATAACTTTGAAACTCGCCCTAGACCCGCGAGCGGAGCGGATTCATTACAGATTTCGTTTGACTCTCAAAGACGACATGTGGCTTCCAAAAAAAAGCGAGGTAAGCGAAGTAGAGCATTGTAAATGAGATAAAATAATTACAAACGAAGTTTTTCCTTTAGGGAAAACTCATTCTTTACTAAGAAGGGAAATTCTACTGAGGGCTAAAATATTTAACAATGTTCTATCTACCACTTTCCCGCTCATTCTTCTTTTGACAGAGTATGACGAGCGTAATATAAAGCACTAGAAGCGTAAATTAGGTAAAATTCTGCACCTATTCCATTCCGACATTCTGTATAAAATTGCATGATTAATTATTGTCTTCTTCCATTTTCAGTTTATGACTCAAACAAGACATTGTGAAATCTTTGATTCTTAAGGAGGTTTTATTGCACATATTGTTAATTTGTTTCATCTAGTATGTCATAGAATAAGAACAATATAGAATAATAATGTTAAAACATATTTTTTTTTATTTTACTACAAATCTTAATGTATTCTAAATTGATTTTAGGTGTACTTTAAAAAGTATGTTGTCATTATTATTACATTGAAATATTAAAAATACAATAAATAGAACATGACGTGATGTCACTTCAACTTATATTCAAAATGCCAAACGTTTATCTATGCATATAGTAAAATGGTAGGAAAGTCAAAACTGTACACTGTACATTGAATATTTTTTTTAAAGAATACTTGGGGTGTAATCTACATTCGATACCGAAGTCAAAAATATAGTTTTTAGAATTTTTGTCTGTTTGTCTATATGTATGTCCGGGATAAACACAAAAAGTACTGCATGGATTTACTTAAAATTTGGCACGAATATTACTAAAAAGTCGGGTCAACATATAGGCTACATATTATCACGCTATCACCACCACCTACGAGCAGTGAACCTTTATTTCGAAGTCACGGGCGGCCGCTAGTTTTTTATAATTCCGTTCTCAAAAATATCATATCAATACAATTTTGAATATTAAAGAAAGAATAACATACAGCTTAATATCCATTCAATTGCAAAAAAAAACTGCCACTTCACAATATATAAGCCGACCTTTTAATAGTTTTCGAGCATACTTTTCCCATCAGAAAGTGCTGTAGGATTATTTTAAAACTATGCCTCGGTTTAACCAACATAAAGGGTTAAGAGGTTATGTTATACCAAACAAAAAAGCTATTTATAAACTGTCTCAGTGTTGTCGTAGGCACTTTACGCTCGGCTTCCTGGCATAGCTTATCGTGCCGTAAGCATCTTGCCGAGAAAATAAAACTCTCGACTGTTTACATTCGAAGCCTTCGCTAAAAATAGCAGTGACGACGCGCGGTGCTGCGACGCGGCGCATATTTACCGATTTTGTTCGAATGACATACGCAGTACTTACTTGGAAATTAAGTTATTTATCGGAAGTCTTCAGACTACAAAACAGAAAGAGCCATTTCCTTAAACTCTTACTTACCTTATTAATAAACGAGGTATAACCTTAGACTCAAGTGCAATTTGTAATTAAATGAACTGAGAAAAAACATAGAATCTATATATACAAAACTCAAAGGTGACTGACTGACATAGTGATCTATCAACGCACAGCCCAAACCACTGGACGGATCGGGCTGAAATTTGGTATGCAGGTAGATGTTATGATGTAGGCATCCGCTAAGAAAGGATTTTGATCAATAATCTACCCCCAAGGGGATAAAATAGGGAATGAAAGTTTGTAGGTATGAAACTTTGTCAATTTTAAACCGATCGGGCTGCGACTTTGCATGCAGGTATAAGAAGAATCATAGATGAATGTCATTGTGTATAATACAAGCCTGAGAACAAAAACTGTAGTCTACACTTCAGCTCTACACCGAAGCGAAGCGAGAGCGGGCCGCTAGTACCTAATATAAGCTTATTCTTCGTTTATTAAAAAGGGGTTTACAGTTTCTGCTTCGTAGAGCATTTTGTAGGATAACTTCTTTTGATTTAGCATTATCGGTTATTTTATCTGAATAATACTATTTTAAGGAATGTTTTCATATATCAAACAATCCATTTTTTATTGAAATGTCTAAACTTTCAGGAATACTCGAATTTTCAAGTGGGTATTAACGTATTTTTCGGATATTCGCCACATTTACTATTCGAATAGCATCTGTATAATTACTTATTCGTTTTTTTTTAATATTTCAAATACTTACCTTTTATTTAATTTTGGCAAAATTATCCGAACAGAAACTTACAAATGGTGTTTAGAACATATATACAGGGTTACAGGGAAAGTCGTACTGAATATTGAAGGACGTTATTATTCAGGTCATTTCTGATGGATTTGATCCTATAATATGGTGTCCGAAACATAACCGTTATGGAGATATTGGATATGTAAGATTTTTTTTAAAAATCCTATATTTTTTGGGTCTCTGTCGATTTTTTTTGAAATTACAGCTCCAAAGGTCTGATTTTTTAATGTATCTAGTTAGAAGACATGTCAAGCAATAAAAATAATGAATAAAAACTGAACCTACTTCTAACGGCTTAAAAAAACTGCTCGACAACGGTTGTAACTAAAGAATTTTCACCAAGTGTTCTTAACCTCTTTTAACGGAACCCTGATTGAAAGAAGGAGAGAACACGTGCGCGGGCATAGAATTTCATTTGCAAATAGTATGAAAAATAAATGAGTCACCAATTTTTTAACCCTTGTTGGAATGGTTGTTACGGTAAGGTCCATTAGCTTTCCAAATGTTACATCACGCTGCCTGATTTTAACATCAATCATATTGAATTAGAAGAAGTTGATCTGCCTTTGAGAGAAATAGTTACAAAGTTAGCGCCTTGAAAATGAACGGCAACATGCAGCCAAGATAGTCAGAAATCAGAAATCAATAGGTATATCTTTATTAAAATTGGATGTATAGTACAATTCTTTTGAATCGTCCAAAAGTCTTCTCTTCAAGTCTTAAGTCAAATCATCAAGAAAAAATAAAAAACAAAAGTACATACCTAAATGAATCTTTGCACGGTGCTGATAAAGTATCAACAAACATTTGTCCGAAAACGATGACTTGGTAACGTCTGTCATGCATTTATTCTCGCCGCCATCGAAAAAAGGGTGGAAATGGCTCTATTAGATCGAGGTGGTCCGAAAAGCATTATTTACCTGCAGCCTAATGGTACAGGTGGTCTGGCGGGATTTTACTAACCATTCCACATACAAGCGTTGCGTTGTAACTAAACGTGTATTTTCAGCCAATAGCTTTTTCTTTGTAATCATGTGAGATGATGATTCAATGACGATACATTAGACGCCCTCAGTGTCCTGCGGTCGTATTCTATGAATATTTTTGAACTTTTAGATTGAGATGATTTTATTGAGCACAAAATAGTTCCTATTTTTTTTTGAGTACCTTCCTATTAAAAAGTTTACGTAATATTTACATTGAACAAAGCCGTATTCGAAAGATATGTATTATTCGATTTATTTATTTTATCGAATTCGAAATACCCGAATACCTTTTTCGTTCGAATAATGCATGCCCTAGGTAAATCTAAAGACGATGTACATACTTTGCAAATGCAGAAAAGAGTCTCCATTAGCGATCACTAACTCTTAACAGATGAGGAAAGAAAACCATCCTAAGACAAAAATCTACTTGGACTCAATTTTTAGAATATCGAATAAATATCTAAAAAACCAGACCAAAAACAACATTTAAATAGGATATCAGGCTTTCCGAGAATCTTATATCGACATTCGTTAAACTTATCTTACATATAAAATTCTCGTGTCATAATGTTAGTTACCATACTCCTCCGAAACGGCTTCACCGAATTATATAAATTTTTATATTCATATTCAGTAGGTCTGAAAATCGGCTACTATCTATTTTTCATTCCTCTAAGTGATAAGGATTATCGACCCAGAACATTTTTTATTTATTTATTTTTTTGTAATGTGGCATTAAAAATACATACAACCCTAAATTTTCAGCGTTCCATCACCAACCACTATTTTTTAATAGTAATTTATATGGCAATAATATTAAATTTTCCATCGACGTCGAAAAGTTACGAGGAGGATGATAAAAATAAGAGTCAAATGTGAAAACCATTTGGGTATAAAAATAATTTAGAATAGAAAAAAAAGATGATCTCTAATAAAATTAGGTAATTAATTACTGTGAACTGCAACAATGTTCACGATGATGTGGTAAACACGAACCCGATTGAATACCGATGGATGCAAAAACATCTGACATTCTGATTAATGTTATCGTTAACGTAACTAATCAACTAATATTCTTTGTGTCTTCGATACTTATATTTACTAAAACAATTTTTTTATGGGTCTGGCTTGATGAGTATTGGATGTATTTTTTTCCATATAATTCTTCGCTTCTAATGATCTTGTGGACTCATTGTCTCTAATAAAAAAATATGTGTTGAAAAACCATTGGTAGAAGCATCTTCCACTTTGTAGACAAATGATCGGAAATGTGGATTGGCTATTTGATTTGATTTCTTTTTTAAAGGCAAATCAAATCCAAACTTGTATCCAATCGCTTGTAAAGAAGGTGGATGAAATCATTTCATTTTCTCATGTTTTCTAATTAATATCCTTCTTTCAGGTAAACCGCGTGAATCGCGGGGCACCTCATCCGAACATCAAACGAAACCTGTCAGAAAGGAACCATTCACTCATCTCTCTGAACAAGAACTAATAGAAGAAGCTAACAAAGTCATAGCTCAAGCTGATAGCGTCACCTGCACTGCTGACCATCCACCCGAGAAGTTCTTTTCCTTGCCACATAGAAGAAAATTTAAAGAAGACAAGTCACCAAGAAGAAATAGTGACGACGCTAACTCCGATATAGGGACCAAATCAAATCTCGGCCGATCTTCTAGCGATGTAAGTGCCAAAAGAAAAAAGGAAAGGACATCACTATCAACTCTTTTCCGAAGAGCTCAAAGAAATAAAAGTCCTGATCTACCAGTGATAGTTACAACCAAACCGGTCCCTACAGTAAAAAGAAGTAAAAGTGACGTTTCTGACCTGAAATCCAATACTGCTTTAAACAAATCTAAACCTATTCGTAAAAGATCTGGGAGTGAAACAGAAGAGTTTCTTAAATCTTTGCGAAATAAAAAATCTCAGTTATCACCTATAATTGAAAGTTCACCAAGGGAAGATTATTTCAAAAAAACACCACCATTAGAAGTATTTCAAAAGAAAAAAATATCTCAGAAAGACAGTGTAAAAAGCGAAGATTCTAACAATGAAAGAAAAGTAAATCCAGTGGAAAAACCTCCTAGGTATAAGACACCTGAAAGTCAAGTACCAAAGCCACCAGCTAGAACCAAGAGAGCTAAATCTGCTGAAAAAGACAAATCACCACCTATAACAGATACACCGAAAAGAAAAACAGATATCAAGAAAACTTTGTTAGTTGATGAAATAGATGGTATTAAAGCAAAGGACACAAGTCCAATAGAAGTAAAAGATAAGATTAAAGAAAGCATAAGAAAAATTGAAGAAAACGTTTATGGTAGTAAAGATATGATACATAGTAGTCAATTGCCACCTGACAAACCACCACTAACTAGGGGACATACAGTAGATCACATTGTTAGAATTTTGAAAGAAGATCAATCTTCTCCACCATCGCATTTGATTTCACCACCAAACGGCACTAATACTAATCAACCGTTCTCGTATATTAAACCAAGCCTTAGTCCAGATCCAAATCTTTTTGTAAGAACTACCAGTCCCGAAAGAGCACCATCACCGGTTAATAAAATGAATAATAAAGGTGTGGTTTATGCTCAAGTTATTAGAGATCATGGTGACAGTGCCTCTAGTGGACTAGGGAAGCAGACTATCCATAAAACGTATTCCCCGTCAAGAGAAAAATATGGTAATTTTTCTGATGAAGATGAAGGATTGGGTTATGAAGAAAGATATAAACCTTCTAACAACCGCTTTGATTATACTAACAGAATGAATGAAAAAGAAAACTTTAATAGTATTGAAAGTTATAAAATCACAGACTCGCCCATAAAACCAAAGTTCAGGGAGTATAAACTAACAAGTTTTGAAGATTTTGAACCTACATATGCGAACGAATATCCGTCGAATAATAACAAAACTCATGACTATATTGATACCTTTAGGGGAAGAGCTGATGGTATGGATACCAAGAAAAAGGCATTTGAAAGCGAAAATAATAAAATAGACTTAGACTTTAATGAACTTAGTCACAGACGTAAACTTTTAGAGTCACGACTCAATGCCCGAAGAACGGAACGAGAAAGAATTCATACAGGCGAGCCAATCACAAGGTATTTCCCTGAGACTGATCCTATTTACGAAGCCGAAAAACGAAGGCAAGCAACGGAAAAATATGTTGACGAGACGGCGCGATATTATCGTCACACAATGGAAAGAGATGGTTTTGGTGAAAATAGTGTTACTGAGGACTACAACAAATATGAATCGGACACTCATAAGATAAAGTATAATACAGAATCACGAACATTTCAAAAAGTACCAAAGGGTGAAGTAGACAGACGTGAATTTATAGATAGTTTAGGCCCTGATAACAGATACAGAGACGGAAGAAAAGACTTTCCTCCAGAGCCCGAGTACGAACCTCCTAGTCTTGAATTGGTTAATGGTAAACCTGTGCTGACACCAAATGAATACAAAGAAAAGAAGTATAAAGTGAAAAAGAATTCAAATTCTAGTCTTGAACTCCTCCAGGGAGGTCAAAAGTATAAAAGTAAGGATTCCTGGTTCGGTAAAAGGAAAGGGCATTATGCTTCTAATCCCGAAATCGCTCAAGAGAGGGAAGATGATTATGCAAATATACGTTATGAAGCAAAGCATGCCGAAACTTATCATAACTCTTTACGACGCATGAAAAATAAGGACAAGGAAAAATATCCCAAAGAAGACTTCCAGATACGTCGTCACGGTTCTGGAGATAGTCGAGACTACTATAGGGAAGAGAGATCACCAACGTATCGATATGATATTGACAATCGCTTAGTCGATTCCGGAATCGAAAATGATTTCCGCAAAGAATCCAGTGGCGAACTACATAGGAGATACAGAAAACATGAAAGTGATGACGATGTACATAATACATCTATGTTATTGGCTAGCGAGAGAAGGCATACAGAAGATAATTATCCCAGTGAGCAAATTTATGCCAACGGTGAATACTTAACAAAGTTTAAAGATTTCAGGGAAAACAGCTACAGAAAGGAGTACACACCGAGGGAGAGGAGCGCTGACGATGGATCACAACTTATGTCTAAAAGTGACAGATTTGAAAAAAGCCCAACTGATGAAAAAGTTAGTGCGAAACCACCTAAAGCAACAAAAAAGCTTTCTGGACTTGAAAAGGTAATATCTTGTTTTATAATTATGTTTATCTCATTGTTTCTTTACAAGATTCGATAACGGAGTTAACAATTGTAGATGAAACAGCTGTTCTCTCGCGACTCTTCAAAGAAGAGCAAGAAAGAGAAGGAAGAGGTCCAGCCGAAGGCTGCTCGCACTCGGGTGCTCAAGAGCCCTGAACATCTTGCTAGAGATGACTCCGAGTATAGACGGTATTTATTTTCACCTCTATTAATATTTTAAATATTTAGATATTAGGTTGGGGAAAAAGTTTCCTGGCGCTTTATATGGAAAATTAAAACATTTTTTAATAAAGTTTATTTAGATTGAACAAAAAGTTATAACTTTTTGCCATCTTGTAGGTAGGGACATGATCCCATTGTTATAGAAATTTTGGGGCTTCTGATCGAAAAACCGCGACAAGCGGTTTTGGCAGTCCTCTCGTGATGTTAACCTGACACTGCCTAAAGAATTCTGAAGAGACCAAAACAGGTGGAAATCTGAAGGTGCAAGGGCAAGTGAAATACAGCGGATGCCTTAACACCTCCCAGTCAAACTCTTAATTATTCCTGAGTGGCTAAAGATGTGATGTGGTCTAGCGTTATAATAATGAAAAACCACACCCCTTCTGATGCTGAACTTCGGCCGCTTTCTCTCAACTTCTTGCTTTAATCTCATCAGTTGTTCGCAGTAGAGTTCAGAATGGATGGTCCTGCATGGCGGTAACACCTCATAATGAATAATGCCCTTTCAATCCCACCATACACACATTATCACCTTGTTACGAGTTAACCCGGGTTTCACCAGTTTTGATCACAACTTTTTTCGAACGTTTTTTTCGTACGTGATCCACTTTTCATTACCAGTTATCAGCCTCATTAGGTTTCTTTCAGTAAGTTTGTGAGGCACTTAAATATTAAGTTTTTTTGTGTACCCAACATTTGTCTAATGCACCAAAACTATTTTGTGCTCAATTCCCAATTTTTCAGCTACATCGTAAAAAATGACATGCTGATATTGCTCCACTTTTTCAAAAATGGCATCCATTTTATCCGTAACAGGGCGACCAAAATGACGTGCATATTTGACATCAAAATTTCCAGATTGAAAACGCTTAAACCAAATGTTTGTTACTCTCACATACACTACAATTCGATCCCAATTATTATTTTAAAGAACGACTAGATCGTTAAACAAGTTCTTGCTCTAAAACGTAATATCTATTCATTTGCCTTATTTTGTTTTCAATGTGAAAGTGCATTATATCTTACAGAATATATTATTTATTACGACACTAGTCGGTTGTTCAAAGCAAAGAAATAATTAAAAGAAAGCTTTACCATAAAATCGTATCACAATCAGGTACACAGATCCGGAGCCAAGCGACATAGTCGTAAAGAAGATCAACTATGACTGCCCAGGTGACGAGAGGCGCATCAGGAGTTCCAGGGAAGACTTGGATAGGTACAGAAGCTCTGGCAGCCCGGAGAGGAAGTACAGAGAGACTGATTTTGACGACAGGTAAGTCAGTGAATTCAGTAGGTACCCTTAGCACGAACCAATATCGAGTTCGAAAAGTTGAATTCGATCTCGTTACGCATCAAATGTCAAGAAGTTTTTATGAAAGATTTTTAATTCTCGTTACGTCCGCTGTGGCGTTTTTCAAGTTTCCATACACAATTAGATATTGGTTCTTCGTTTTAAGGATACAGCTCAGTCTGTATTTAGGTACTTATTTCTATAAAACATTCAGTACCTAACTGGTTTTAAAGCAGAATGTGAGTGAAGCAAATATTAATACTTGTATCTATCGCCAAACTAGCCGCGGGGATAGTGAACATGTTTTTAAGGGACAAAGAACGTCTGAAATTGTCTTTTCAGTAATTAAATACTGCAGATTATGTTACTTCTTTTAATAACTCTTAAAGTGAATCACGACGCGCACTTTATTTTATAGAATTAAATTGTATCAGAAAGTTGATGAGGCCAGTTTAAATTGCCATTTAAAACTCCATGCAGATACGACAGGACATTGAAAGAGGAAAGAAGTTATAAAGAGAGAAAAGAAGAGAAGAGATACAACTCGTCAGAGAGAGAGAGCGACCACAGGCCCTCGGATGCGGAGAGCGACCTCAGGAAGCCGAGGTCGAGGACAGCCAGACCGTTAGATTCACCTGCTTTGGTAAGTAATATTTTTTTTTATTTCCCTATATTGTAAAGAGAGGTTTTGATATGCCCTGCCCAGTACCACTTAAGGTTATGTTATAATGTTTGTATGGTGGGCAGGGCACACTGCAAGGAGGACTGAGGGCCACTGGGAAGGAAAGGTCCTCCAATGCCGCGTACCGTGAGACGCAGCGTTGGTAGCGCCCCCACAAGGTGGACTAGATGGCGCCGTGGTGAAAGTCGCTTGAATCGTTAGACCGATCGGTTTTGAATTCCTTGGAAGAGCCCTAAGTCCAGCAGTGGGCGCAGTTTGTTTCAAACAAATTTTACCATTCCTTTAGATGATTAGAATATGCTTCTGTCAAATTTTTAAGTTTATAGGAATATGCCAGAATGAAAACCACTGATAAAACAGTTTTAGCAAAAACATTTGTCGCAATAATATACAAATGACCCCTACTTTAGAACGAACCTACGTTACTATAAAATTAGCCGATGTTTCTCATCATCTCATAATAATAACTTACTTACATGCCCACCATTCCATAATAACTTTTCGATCATTGAAATTTAAAAACTGTTAACTCGCGCCTTCTTGTCGGTTATTCACTTACGCTGATTAGTTACGGTCGGGAAGTTTATATAATATGTACTGTTTGTTAGGCAACTACTGACTGGCTGATTGAATACAACTCATATAGCTACCTACCCATTGCTGTGCGTTTAATGATTGTTAACAATATTCATCTCTCGCTCAGCAGCAATCAAATATCGCTTACAATGAACCCGGAACGAGTTGGTATCCGTCATTCCGTGATCGCTCTCACCTTTGACGCCGACCTGTGGTGGAGGCATAGTAAAGGTCATATGACGACGACGCAACTTCGTCGACGTCGTTCGTTTACTTTTACTACAGTTTCATATTTTATCAACCGTATGAATAGTACGAGTAAATGGTGAATAGCTAGTCAATATAAATTATTTTTGGATACTAACCAACACTGTAACCGAAAATGAGTACACAAGATATTAATGAATATTACAGCTTATGAATCACCTAAAGTCTGTTCTTCTGTGTATTATACTTACAGCTCTTCAAACAAAGTATATAATTAAAAGTCAAGACAACATTACTAATAATATTCTTCACTAAGTAAATTCAAGAGAATAGCTTAACGTTCTGTGATTATAGAAATTAACTTTCGCAATCACCGCTTTAGAATTTAATTTGTAATTTATAGATAGGTGACCAGATATTTAAAATCTCGAGTTCCACTATGCTTAGGAAGACACCTTTAGCCATTGGTCCGGCTGCATCTGTAGTCGTTGATACAGTAATACCAAAAAGGTAATACCTACCAATTTGCTCTGAGCCCGAGTCTGCTGACTGTAGGGAAGACCTGTATCCACAGACATAAATCGAAATAAATAACGCAAGTGTGAGAGAGAGAGAGGTTGGTGTTGTAATTTATTTATTCGCGATATTGTCCTCGATACCGGACATCAATCATGATGTTTAAGAAATCACTTACTATGTCATATTAAGCTGTAAAAACGATATAATTAAAATAATTGAAATAGATGACCATGCTTTTTCTACCACTTATTTGCTCTTGTGAGTATTTTAAATCTAACAGGATTGGTTTCCATACATGCCCGAGTCGTTTTTAAATTTATAAGCCTATAGCTATAAAGCTAATGAAGATTCAAGAAAACCTATAGGAAGCCAAACGCCATCTAATTGCGCCTTCAGGCTTAAGTTTTCCGCTAGAATTGGAGCGCGCATCTGGGGAAGCAACCTCCAACTTACAGAAGACCATGGCAAAATAACACTACCTTTTAGTGGTATTGGGTTTCTGCTGATGAGTAGGGTTCCAGGGCTCCGCGAGGATGGCTAGAGCGGCACACTTTCTCTCGCACCATCTAAATTCGCGACTGGACTCCACTTACACTTAACATCAGGTGGGTTTGTGGAAAAAAATCTACGGTGCAGATGAGACTGCTCTCTGCGGGAGATGTCAACCATTAATAGGACGCATAGGGTCTTGGTTTTTCTGACTTGAACTTAAAGTTTCAAATTCTCAAGCCTAGTAAAACTAACCAACAACAAAATAACTCTCAAATACATTTTTATAACTTGAGATACCATTTTTTTCAATGTTTTCTATTATAACTTAGGAGAGAAAAACACTGTGAATAAGCTACAAGATATATAATACATGAGAGTTATAAATAAACACACAAGCCATATGACACGAGTAAGTAATAGAGGGGAGTGGTGTCAAACGTCTGTTTGACACCACTGTATGTCTGTCTGCCAAGACAGACTTACGTATAAAAATATAAATTTAAAAACACGTCAAAAAGGTGCCAGTTTGTTTATATTAAAAAGTTATAAAAAAGGTTTAGCCGAACATTTTCCATTTGTCAATTCCTAATATTTTCATGTTATTTTTGCCGAACAATATTGTCTTTTAAAACGTGTTTTTTTGTAATATAAAATATGTTTTCATACAAGTATTATTAGAAGTTGGCGAATAGATTGTGCCTTGTATAGCTTAGGGCTACAGGCATGAAGTGAAAGTATTTGCTCTCCCGTTTAAACACCAGTTGTAGAGTACCTTGTTAAAACCAGGTCTATGTTGTTTAAATCAATATACCTATAATGTTTATTGTATATAAAAGAGATTGCTATCTGTACCTTGTTACTAGTTAGTTTAAGTATTTTTATATATTCACACAAGGAAGATCACAATCTGATATAATATGTAAATACAAAAGTAAACAAAACAAGAATTATGTACGATAATTAATTACGTACATTTGGAAAGTTTGAATTCTCTGAGTACGATAAAAAGCGTAAAGATAATCTGATATAATATAATATAATTTATATTTTTTATCCTACTAATGAAGAACTTTAATTGCCATTATTGTTATTTAAAATAAAATTTTAGAGTAATAGGTTTCATTAAAGGGTAAAAGAAGATACATGGTGACAAAAAACCTATTAAAACATATTTCTTTCGACATAAATGCAGCGCTTAAAAAACTTTTTGCGCTCGTGTGGCTTAGATTTTTTTGATGTGTGTATAATTGTAATATAATAGTGATAAAAGAATCGATTGTTGCTTTGTAATGTAATGATGTTTGTAAATTAGTTTGCCAATTGTACTATTGGCATAACCTGCGTGTGAACAAACGACGGGCTTTGGGCTTGTCCAATATATCGGTCAGCGGTAATATCATTGGGTAACCAGACAGACAAACACTTTCACAATTACAAAAGCTATTATTTTATAGTAATGCCTCACTATCTCGTCAGATGTACAACCATCTCTCACTCAGGTCAATTGTGTTGATAATTATATAATCATCATTTGCTGCCTTTTCCCAATTATTTTTATTTCCTGACGGATCTGTCATCGTCAAATTTTGCATTGAAGGAGCCAGTTTGTTTTTACGTCCGGTAGGGGCGCTGCCTAGTTTTCATGGAAACTTTGACGATTCCATACGATTACGGAGCTGTCAAAATTCATGCTTGGACGTCAGTACTAACAGTACCCCTAGCACGAACAAATATCTAATTCGAATAGTTAGCGAGTGCAAAATGCCAATGTCACAGCGGACGTAACGCGAGCCAAAAATCAGTACAATTTCCATACAAAATTTGACAACGAGATTTTGGACTCGCAAACGTAACAAATTCGATAGTGGTTCGTGCTAAGGGTCTGATCTGCTAATTACTCAAATTATTTCTTTGCTATATCTTCCCTTGAGCACAGCAAGCCATCATATCTCGTATTCTTTCAAGGTTTTTGAAGTGAATATTTCTTTAGTATCGTTGTGACTTGACTCGACATTCGATGAAACTCGTATGGACTCCCGTAATTAACCTAATGCCAGGTACTTAGTCCTTTTGCATACACATTCATTATTTTTGATTACAAAATTATTTTTCACGAATGCCGTAAACGAATGCATTGAAGTGATAACCGAAAATGTACAATGGGGATCAAATAAAACAAACTTCAACGGGTTAGATGCACTGATTTTATTTATTTACTAGTGGCCCGCCCTCGCTTTGCTTCGGTATTTTATCCCCTTGAGGGTAGAATAGATCAAAATCCTTTCTTAGCGGATGCCTACGTCATAACATCTACCTGCATGCCAAATTTCAGCCACATCCGTCCAGATGCGTTGATAGATCACTATGTCAGTCAGTCACCTTTGAGTTTGATATATATAGATTGACGTTTCGCATCCTTTGCTGGAATGCGTCGTCAGAATAAGGAAGGACACATTCCTGCAAAGAATGCAAAACGTAAATCACACTAATATTATAAAGGCGAAAGTTTGTGAGTGTGTATGTTTGTTACTTCTTCACGTCTAAACAGCTGGAGCGGTTTTAATAAAATTTAGTATGGAGTTAGCTGACACCCTGGATTAACGCATAGGCTACGTTTTACTACGGGGAAATGTCCTTAATAAACGGCGGGAACCACCGCGGGGCACAGCTAGTAAATAAATGAAATCGGTGCATCTAACCCGTTGAAACTTGTTTTATTTAATGAGTGATGTGCGTGAAAACCTATGAAAAAAATAATGGAGATCAGTAAAAAAAATTCTTTCTTTCGTTCTTTCCAATGTTATATAGATACCTAATGCTACGGAACCCGTGCGCGAGTCCGACTTGCACTTGGCCGGTTTTTGTAGGTTTCTCTTCTATCCCATGTGAACAACACATGTCCTTTTTTTTCTCGTATTGGCATTCAACACAACAGGGCCGGATTTAGAGGTCCAGAGGCCTCGGGGCAACAGAGGAGCGGAGGCCCCCTCACCCCAAATTATTTTCCAAATAAAGTAAACATTTTTTTTTTCAGTTATAATTTTTTTCTAATTATATTTTCTTTAAATTTTTTTTCAGTCGAGTTTTTCAATAAATAATTTATTGTGAACCAAGTAGATTCCCTTAGTATTGAACAAACACATATAAATATAAACGGAAACAAGAAT